TGTGTGTGTTTTTGAGTGAGAAGACACAGGAACAGAGGCAAGATAGAAACACAAACTGAGGAAAAGAGGAACAACAATACACGCAAACACAAATCTCTGAAATCATCTTTATAGTTCCCATAAAGATGAGCTTCTCACACCCTTTTGTATTCATGTTATACCCCGATTCTTTACAAAGGACACTTGGCAGTGTGAGTGTGTAATTTGATTATTTGTATTGTCTTAAATTAGATGAAAGTTTGATGGAGCCTCCAGTGGAGCTCTGCTCATGGCTGTGCAGTTTATGGCTCTGCTGTCCTAGTGTGTGTGTGTGTGTGTGTGCGTGTGTGTGTGTGTGTGTGTGTGTGTGTGTATGCTTTCCCTGCTATTTCAGCTCATTACTCACACACGAGCCACCCAAGTAGCCATGGCTTCTTTTGTTTAATGACATACAGCATAAATCTCTGCTTTAGGTGAAAAGTGCAACATCTACACAACAACAGACAACCTTACAATTATTGTCCGTCTTTCTTTTCTCTGAACGTCTTTCAGTATATCTATTTAAAGTTTTGATAACAAAAAAAACGTTGGAATATCAGGTACAGTCGAAATGAGGCCCAATGAATGCAGGGGGACGGAGTTCCCGTCACCTATCGTGCAATTTCCATAAAACTGGCAGCACACACCCCATTACCTGAGCTGTGCTGGAGGACACACAACAACAAAGTGTAGGCAAAGCTGCCATAAAACCTTCCTCCAATTAAAGTCTGCCAACACCTTCCAAGTCATTAGGAGGCGAGCTGGCGATGTCTTTAGATCCAGCAAAGGAAAAAAAGCTAAAGGAGAAAAAAGAATCAGCCAATTTAGTGATGCCCTGGCTGTTGTGCAGTGTGTGTGCCTCTGTGTCACACACCTGTGTCTCTGCCTGCGATAAACAGTTTGGATAAAGCAGGCCAGCTTGTTGAAATGCAATTTAACAAGAGCGAGATTGTACACCTGATGGGGGCTCCGCCATGGCGGCTTAGCAGCAAAGACTGGATTTCACTTGAGTGGAGAACACTGTGTGACAGTCCTACCGCTGCTGCTCTGCCATTTCTCCTGCAAGAGTCTAAAAATGTGCATCAACCTGAATTCTGCCCAGTAAGAAAGAGAGTGCTGCTATTCTGATAATGAATACCTTGAGACCATTAAAAAGCTCAGTTTTGTAAAAGAATATCCTTTTTTGAACATGGAGTCACACAGCCTAAAATTGATCCTGTAAATGCCATTTTATTCAACATGTACCTAAAAAAGTACAATTCTTTTTCATTATAAATATAACAACACACTTTCTCTGTGAACTCATCCTCCAAATCAATCCTGTCTTGCACTATTCAACCAAAGGAAATCTCCATCAATACTAAAAGTGAACACATTCTTCCCCTGCCTTTGTTAAAGCTCAGCCACATTAACTCGGCTTGCTTAACACGGAGGAGAATGAAGGGGTCTGGAAAATAAAGGAATGAGCAAACATGCTCCATGTTCTGAAAACAGGGACCTCCGTCACACAGACCTTCAGGATCAATGTAGATCTATTGAAAGACTACTACTCTTGCATAATATCAGTCAATTTCCTATTCAGTGCATTTTTCAGCCTAAAAAAATGTAAAATCACAGTTTCAGAACACTGAAAATTCCAGATTCCTAGCAAGAAAAAAGAGGATATATTTTAAAATATCTTATCTGATAAATGCATGCTCAGTAAGTGCTGGTAACTCAGTATGACAGCATCGTAAAATTATTTCCATTTTCTCAGCAAAACTGGCTGTGCTCATTTTTGATCCAAAACCTTTTGTTTAAACCGCGAGTAGCCTTACTCCACAATAGAACAACATTAATACAACACTAATACAATACAGTGTAGTATCAGCAGCCAAACACAAATATGTTAAAACGTTTGATCAATATCTGCTGCCGGCTATATGACTACAACAAAGCCCTAATCCTGTTCGGTTATCAGTCATCAATTCTGTTTCACTCTGAATTTCATGATTGATTGTCAACTTAATCACAGTAATGCTTCACAGGTACACACTGTACAAACACGGCAGCGGTGGGCATAAACTGGATCCAGCTCCGAGTGATAAATCATTGCTAGCCCACCTGCTACATGTGGAACCGGAGCTAAACAAACGTATGCAGAACAGCCCCGTCCAGCTGTCCAGAGCTGCTCTCTCCTGGTTATGTGCCGGTCAGCATTAAGCTCGCGTTCCTACACGATCATCTGAGCTGCCTGGAGTCAAAACCCTAAGGTATTCATTTATTTTGAGAGAATAGTTACAAGGCATGATATCCTCTGTTTGATCTATGACAAAGACTAATGATGGAATCATTTACAATCATGAAACTTATCATTCACCAAGGTTATCATTTTAAGATGCCCTGTTTTTTTTCTTCTTCTTTTGATTAAGTTTACACTTTGAAATGATATTCAGATGATTTCTGTGAAAACATTCTTGATTAAACATGCCTCTCAGAATAGACCGAGAAGAACCATGTGAGTCTGGCTGAAATAAACTGGAATTGTCCGACAGGTGGGTGAGGCTTCGGCCTCTTTTCCAATAAACAGTGTGAGGTGAGAACAAACTGGGTTTGTGTTTGTGTTCCAGCAAAATGAAGTTGCATTTTCATGACCAACACTGTGTGTTTTAGCATCTTCCTGCTACACTGATCCAGCCTCATGTTGCATAAGACAGCATCAAATACTCCCAGAACAACACGACCAAAACCCATCCCGACTCTATAGAAGAAGCTCAGAGGCCCATACCTGACTCCATGAACTCCTGGTTGAGGCTGTTCCAGGCCCCTTTGCTCTTCTCCAGGTTCTCCTCCATGACTTTGATGTCGGCGAAGGGGCAGTTGCATTCTGGGAACCTGGAGGAGCACTGGCACCAGCAGTCGTTGTTGTGGCACAGCAGCTCTCCCTCAGAGTTGCAGGCCACGTAGCTGAGGGCCGCCTCCACGAAGCGCCCGCGCAGGAACTCCGGCAGGACGTCCTGCAGGCCTACGGACGCACCACACACACGGTCAGCCGTTTCTCCTCACCTCTTACATACACACCTCCTGTTCCAGCACAATCCTTCCACAAACCTTCACAAGAAGGAAAGTACAGTAGATGTGATGAGAGCGTGAGGCTGAAATTTTAGCATGTGGCATTCTCAACATAGCATCTATTTCCAACATCCCCATTCAGTCCAGATTTCAAAACAGGAATTCTCCACACACCACGCTGTTTTAGATTCTTTTCCATTTACAGCATCTAGTGTTTTCAGTACTACTATCAGTGTCTTAGCTGGAGGAACCCTGGCTGGAGGTTTTTGGATTTTTTTGTAAATTCCCACAAACTACTTGAAATATTGAAATATTCTGAAACACATTGATCCAAATTCTTTGACACTAAGGTGCTGGTTATCACTGAGGTATCAGTACATACTTACTACGCACTCTTAACACAGCCCATAACACAGCCTTGTGTGTGTATTTGTGTGTGTGTTGCAAGTTTTAGTTGCAGTAGCATCACCCTAAACTGGTAATATTGATAACTGATGAACAGCTTCAGTTCATCATTCCCTTTGCAGTTTAGGTGGGACTGCATTAATGTATACATAACATCTTCATGTAAAACTTTTCCAGAGCCACCTGAACTAAACTCTAACTCTCTCCTTCTTTGACACCTCACACTGAGAGTCAGCTGGTGAAGGTACAGTCAGTGCCTTCACATCTAAATGAGGCCCGGCTTTTTAATTGCACAACTGCTCTCATCCCAGTAATAAAGCATGAGAGGGAATCAATGTATTGATTGACAGACAACTTCCACATTCAGCTGAGAGTTGGATACTTTAACAGCTCGGTACATTTTGTGCTGCGTGCGTATTTTCCTTTTTTTGTGCAGATGACATGAACACTATTCAAAGCCCCGGTGATTTATTCCCATCGTTAGCATTTTTTTTCCTTTGGATATCAGTTTTTATTATTTGATCTATTGAACATGCAGATAGCAGTTTGGGTTCCCTTTGAATGGACGGAAAACTGGACTCATGAGCAAAGCTCCGGGTATCTTAGTCTGTCTTAAGAAGTGTGCATGGCTGTGAGTCAGATTTGAGTTGGAAGGCCTGTGGGAGGCTGATGGGTAGTATCATCACCTCACACCAAGAGGATTACCGTTTCAAACCCCAGCTGGGATCTCTCCCGGGGCACTCTGGCATCCTCCTACCTGGCTAGGTTAGTGTGTCTCATCTGCTCATGTGTGGCCCTTTGATGGACTGGCAACCTATCCAGGGCAGATCCCTGGATCAGCCAATGAGATGGGAGAGACAGGACAGAGAAGGGATGGATAATTTTGTGTAATGTCATGAAAAAGTACTGATTGACACTATTTTACTAAGATGTGGATGGACAAGCCTAAGATGACAGAAGAAAACCATTTTCACATAAGCCTCTGACTAGAAACTTCTCACACACAGTTCAAACACTGCTTCACACTTCAAAATTTAAAAAAGTAACCATGCAAGATGATACAGTTCATGTTCTCAGACTGGTTTTAAAACTCAACTGAGTGAAACAAAAACTTTACGGGAGGTAATGTCTGTCTTCATGACATCCAGAAGCAGCACAACATCGAAGCCTTGATATAACTGCCTTCATTATCTTTTTTACCTTCATTTTCTTTTTAAAAAGGGGGTTAATAATTGAGCTAAATTGGAAGACTGCACAGCCAGATCACAAGCTGATGTGTGTGTGTGTGTATGTGTGAAAGTGTGCATTGTCATCTTTTTGTAACTATCCCATTCTTCCTCTGAAGCTGTCTCATGGTCAATATCTGTCATCCACTCTGTCTAATATCATGAATTTGTGTTAAAAGCCGCCTCTCTCATCTCATTTTGGATGATTTTCAACAGCCAAGTCAATCCTGCTGTGCCCTCTTATGAATATGCATGTGTCTTCTCTGGTATTTACTCTTTCAGTGGCTTGGAAAGAGATATAATTAGTCACATTTTTCCTGTTCCGTGCCTTTGGCAGGTGCTTCCAGGTCTTTTCTTTCTCCCCCACTTTCCTGTATTTGTGTGTCTACGTGGATGCATACATGTGCTAGCAGCAAAACTGGCCGGGGTTTCTTCAGTTTGGGAGAGCACTAAAAGACACTTTTCCTATTAGTCACTTCATCGATCAAACTATGTTCATCTTAGTTTGTTCATCTGAAGTACAAGTATTCTCCATTCAAACTATGGAACTGAGTAAAAATATCATTTTACTTCTGAAATTCAGCACTGATGGAGGGATAATATAGAAATCTGACCTGCTTTGGGACCCCAGAGGAGGACCTGGGGAGAAGAACTTCTGTTTCCCCCCATGAACCTGACCCGGCCTTGGATAAGTAGATGGAAAGGGATGGAAGGATGGCTATTTTCAACTTGCTTACATTGTGTTTATATCTATCAGATACTTAATAGAAGGTAGTCGAGGGAGCAAACAGAAGAGACCAAACAGGAAATAGAGCAAAACCCTTAGTGACATCCTGCTTAAGAAGTCAGTCCTAAAGTCACAGGAGAACATCTGTGGACATAACTTTGGTTCAATGATTTTCTATTGACTATGAATCGGAACTAAATATGCATCCAAAGAAACTATTAACCCTCGATTTTACATGCATTAACAGTCATTTTATACAAAAAATAGTGTATCCAACTCAACTTAGATATGTTTGATGAAGAATATAATAAAAGGGCAAAGTACATAGAAGGGTGAATTCCTCGGCCTAGCTGTCAGGCAGAGCCTCATCGATGACTCGTCGCCAGTTTCACCTTGCTGCTGCTCACCCTTGACTCTAAACGCTATTGAAACAGTGCATTGCTATTCAGATGAGTCCCCACCGCGCTCATCATGATACTCCCATCTGCTGATTCAAGATGAATAAAAATGCACACCTGAGTGGGTCACATTATGTACCCACCAGGTGAAATTAGCCCCTACTTGGAATCGAATGTCATTCAAAGGCACTGGAGCCCTATCAGTGCCATTGAGCCTGTATAAATGCTGGAGAGCTGGAATTACATGGTGGATGCATATTGGTTATAAAGGCGCCATTAAATTGATTGTATTGTCAGATGCTGCACTATCAGTCCAGAATCTGAATGGAAACTGGTGTTAAAACCTTTTCATCAGTATTTTATCATCATTCCAAATAAGCATATCATTAAATCCTCCACAGAGCATATACATTAAACTCCATACTCCAAGTATGTGACTGTTGTAATTATCATTGACACATAATGAATTTTTCAATAAACCCCCCCCTGATGGAGTCATACTGTAAAGTACTCATTAAGATGACTGATCCCAGCTGTGATTTACGGCTACCAGCAGATTTCCCTTTTGGTCAGTTTCCACAGGCCTGCCAGACCAGTGAGACCGCTGCAGATTCCTGAAAACCCACCCTCCCAAGGACATAAATACAGTGCACAGCCACACATTTTTAATCTGTTTGCGCTTCACTGGTCAAATCTTGATCGGAGGACACTTGTTATTGATTTAACTGTGCATTGGGGGACAGGCCGGGGGCTCCTGCTGCTTGTTTAGCATCCTAACATCTACCTTTCTGGTGTGTTTAGGCTCTGAGCTTCCCACGCTTAGCCCAGAGTCTCCACTGACCAGACATATGGGCACCCCCACTCCCATCCACTATGGACACAGCCTGAAGTGAGCTTGACCAGATGCTGGTTCTCAACAGCCACCATCTACGGCCACAAGTCAACACTCTGACCCATACGCGGATTTATCCCTAAACAGGCAGAGCATCAAAGTTGTCCCCACTGGCAAAAGGGATAAGGCAGCCATTTGCATTGTTCAGCTGAGATGCACATTCATGGCCTCTCTACCTACAAAGCAAAATGGAGATTCCCATTGAACTCAGTCAGCACCGGCGTCAGAGAGAACTCCGTTAAGCACCATTTCTGTCATGTCAACCAGTATGTGCTATGAGAGGGAAATGAATGGAGTACGGGGACAATGCCAGAGATGCAGCAAGCTTTTGCTCAGGTGCTGAAGGAAGAAATCCGCTCTCCACCAGACAAATATGTAATAACCGTGGCCCCTCTCGAGTCCCAAAGCTGATTTTACAATCACTATTTGGTGGCAGGTTATGGCAACTGATGCAGTCTGTCTGTCCAGGGATTCTTCATATTCATGGGAACAGCATACAGATGTTGAGCCCTTGCCTTTTTATTTATCTCTTACTCCCTGGGTATTTACAAAATGCCTTAAGGCAGCTGTGGCACTGATAAGGAGTAGGGAGGTCTGAACCCTTCAGTATCCAGACCAGGGGCAACCAAATCCAGTTCTTGAGGCTACTGTGCTGCAGTAACTCACTGTTTCCCTGCTCCAGCACACCTGCGTCGATGTGCCTTTAGAAGACTTGTGAGGAGCTTGACAACCTCTTAAAAAGATCCATTTAATTAGAATTAAGTGTGTTGAAGCAGGGCAACAACTCAAACTGCCATGCAGCAGGACCGGACCAGGAGGATTTGCTGCTGTTGGCAGACCCGGCTCAGCAGGCAGAGTCCACACTTCTGAATGATAAGACATCTAGGACAATGGGATCTTCATGTTCTCCTCATGTTCTCTCCAGGCCTCCACCTCCCTGCCCCCCGGATGAAGATAATATGAAAAATGAATGAGTGAATAATGTCAGAAGTTGCACATGGTGGCTCACGTTTTCTATTCTTGATTTTCCACTAATGTAAGTGTGAACAATGTATTGCATTTCTACCACAGGATCATTATATATTTATATCAGAGCTTTACCAAACATCAAGTCTTACTGCCTTAAATCTTCCTGAGTTTCTCATTCTCATTTTAAAGCTGAGCAGATGATAACTATAAGAGTTTAGCATGGCATGATGATCACAACCACCAAAAACACTTGGCCGTGGACATGAAAAAAGTCGACTGAAACCTTCCTTCATTTACAAGGAAAATGTATCTTTTGGAAGTTTAAACCTAATTAATCTAACACTTGTGTTAATGACACAAAGATGATTAATGAGCGTATTAGGACAATTTAATCGCTTTATGAATTAAAAAGTCATCAATCCCTGATAAGAGTCAGAGTGAGCCAAGTGTCAGACTTTGGACTGAGTAACTGAGTCAAACTTGCTTCTTTATGGAAAGGGTTTCTTTAAATATTCCAACTGAAAAGCATCGTCTGGCCCTCCCTTGACTCTTTTTGGCTGGAAACACAGTACATTATTTTTTAAACTGCCTCACATCCTCTTCGGGGTTGCAGGACCTCTGCATATTGCAGCCGTTAGAAGAAGTGTAAGACATAGTACATACATCCCATCATGCATGTCTGTGGGTGGAGCACCAGAGGGAAATCCATGTAGACACACAGAAAACATGCAAACCGAAAGCAAGACAAGTAAGGTGAAGAGAGAATTCCATCCAGACTGGAAACTGCGATAAAAATAATCTCCTAACTTGCCTTTTATCTTTTTATCTTCAGCATTATCTCTCCTTATCACACCATGTTTCCTGTTATTATCATGAAATTCACAAAAAGCCTGTGGATGACTCCTTTTGATGGGAGCTTTTAGGGTCGTTACCCATAAGGCTTTGCTCCCATCCAACCCAAGATTTAGATCTCCCCAGTAGACCAAAAAAAAAGTGCACCCATGGTTCTCTAGCCTTCTATCTCTCAATCTCCTGCAGAGACCACACTTTTCATTTTGGGCAATTTGAAGCTCTTAAGCCTCCCGTGATCACCTCACAGTGTGTGTGTTCTTTTGAGCCTTAGCTTTGCTGGGTGTTCGGGGCGCTCCACTGCAAAGCCTACAGGATGGGGGTGCTAGAGCTCCTGGACCCAGCGGCTTCAGGCTTTTACACCACATACACATCACACACTGGCACGGATGCTACAGGATCATAAGATCTCATTTTTTTCCAATTTTGCTTGTGACATTTCCACCTGACTCCACCTGACCAGCCCATTACCACAGCTTAGTCATTGTTTGTTTTCCTGAGCTAGCTTTATACTTTTTCAAAAGAGATTTATGTGTCTGTTTAAAAGGCAAAATGCCTAAAAGGGCCACAAGCACTAAAACTCCATCTGGCTACTCTACTCTGCTCTGTATCTTTCTTTATTTATTGAAACCATTACGTTTAAGATATGTAGGGCTGTGATGTGCACCACTGACAAATTTGGCAGAAGATTTATCTGCTGTTTTGGGGTGACAGCTGGTGTGTGGAGGATCGGTCTCAGTGGCTGCCCGGCCCCGGTGAGCAGAGGGATGCACTCCACAGACCTCCGTCCTGCCTGAGCTCACAGGCCTGAGCAGCATCTGGCCCGCTCCCGCTCACACTACTGATGGAGCTCCAACTAAGTTCTAACGGCATGTTGGTGCTGTCCGGAGACCATCCGTTAGAGGTTTCCCAGAGTCCCTCTGAAAGGGCCAGCCCTCAGCTGTCAGCAGGAAACGGTGTCATTTCCCTCTGCCAGTGGAGCCGGCACATCCCTGCATGGATTTGTTTATGGAAACTTATTTATCCAGGCTAGACTACTTTTTAACAAATGCCATCCTGATTAAATTAGATTCATAGCTAGATTTTTAGATTCTTACTCACTGTTTATTATATTGCCTTAGACTGAGTACAGCACGTTCAGTTGCGTTGCACATTAAAAAACTGGTCTAATAGTGAAATTCCAATGAATTTTAAATGTAATCCCTCAACCGCACACTTCACTACATTTTTTTTGTGTCTGAACACACTGTAAGAAGAGATTTTTACCTCGATTCAGTTTTTCCACTGATCATCTCCTCGTGTGTGCAGAGAGCTGGATTGCTTTAGTAAGTGTTACGATACAAAAAATCAAAAAGAATATCTGGTAGATAAACCAACTTGAACATCAATATCTATGTTTTGAGGGGTTTTCTTTGCCCGTACAGCCCTCTTTTTCCCGTTGGGCTTTTGCTACATTCCTGCTGGGCTGCTAATACACTGTTCAGACTCACCTCCACAAACACATGCGTACACAATAGAATTCCACACCTATTAACCCAGGATGTTTCATTCGGAAGGCTATGAGGCTTGCAAAGAAATAATTAAATACAAATAATAATGGTTTGGCATCTCTGATTCAAAGCACTCCTCTGACTCAAGGCTCCAGTGTGTTCCTCAGCCAGGGCTCTTTATTTAAGCAAAACACCAACAAACGCTGGGGCAAAGCTCAAAGATACACAACCTGAACACTCACAAAGGCGTGCAGCCGGAGTGTGAGATCACAGAGATGAAGAACAATTAAAAGTTGAAGCTGTCTTTGCTGAGGAGATACAAAGAGAGCTTACTACCAGGAGGGACAAGGCACACAATAGAGCTTTAGAGTTTCCACCCATTCCCCGAAACATAACAGAGCACTTTCCTCCGGTCTGAGTCCTGTGTTATTCTTGAATGATTCATCAGCAGTGTACAACTCCGGAGACGAATAAACTGAGTAGTTAGAAGTGTTGGTTTCACAGTATTTAGATTATCTTCATCAGTATCCTCCCACATAATAAACACACACAGAACAGGCAGGAGGATCACTCTGGAAAATTGCTTGACAGGCTTACACAGACTTGACTTCTTTGTACAGAAAGAACCTCCATGACCTAATTTTTATCCACTGGCCTCCTGGGACAGAAGTTCTGAAATGCCAGACTGGAAGCCATCAGGCTAATTGGGTGGAATTAGAGTTAAGGCTTACCCATAGTCATAATAGTGGCTCTCTCATTGCAAAATCAATACAAGACAAACACATCTTACATCACACAATTCAGAGAATGAATGATGCACTGGTGAGGCATTGCACTTGGTTACATGCTGTGTGAGGAGAGAGTATTTCAGGAATTTATACATAGTGACTCTGTATTTCATTTTGCAATGTCTTGATAATCACTTTTAATCTTAGTACAAGAGAAATTGGTAAAACAACTCCCCATGTTTTTCATCTATTCAAACATAATCCTGTAGTATTTTCTGTTGGAGCATGCAGCAGAAATAGAGCCTGCTTTTAGTTAAAATGGCACAAAATAGAAGATTCCAATCTAATTGGGCATAATGTACATAGCCACAAATGCAATAAATAAATAAAGGGCATAGGATGGTGGGGGTTGGGGGGTTGTTTGGGTGTGTTTAATAGCATCACAATCCATAAACAACGTTAAGAAAAATGAAAAGACATCGTTCAACTGATTGATTATCTGTGGGTGAGTTCATAAAATATTCAGTGTCTAATCCAAACCGACACTGACAAATGTCCCGCTCTGATTGGGGAAATGGTCTGGGGCTGCATGTAGGGTCCAGGTTACTTTTTTCCCCACTTCTCACCCGTATAGCAGGCAGGGTTAAAAGATGAGAAACCTTTGGTCAGTGTTGGCTCAGAGCCAGAAGTAGCCACTGCAGAGAAACGCTGGCCAACACTGTTTAAAGAGACAGCACAGCCACTCAATCAGGGGCGTCCAATCAGACTCAGAGAACAGACGGAGGAGGAAGGGAGGAAGTCCAAAGCATCCCATAAAGGACACAGGCAGTGAAGTCATCTGAATGTGGGACTGGCTCAAAGTTGCTCACATATTGAGATTATTTAACTGTTTGGAGTTTCTGTACATGAGCTGACTAAAAACCCTCAGTAAAGAGGTTAGTGTGAGAAAAGATTGGTGAGTGAAAAATTCAAATAAATGGTGTTTTCTGTTTATTCAGTTTAAGGGCAACTTTCCTTTGATTGCCTGTTGAAAGGCCTATCTTTTGCTGCTTGGAGCCGAGCTTCTTTTGAAAGGGTTGCCAGGTCCTGATAGCACTCATCGATTCAGAACACCCCCCCATTCAGGACTCAAGGAATACAATTGACTTTGGATTTGAAAAACAATAAGAAGGAAATGATGCTTCTGCTTTGCAGAAATGTGAAGGACCCACTTGGATGCAGCGTCTTAATGAAATGCATGAGGCTGCTGTTGGGATCAAGTGCAGGACAAAGTCAAGGACAGACTTAAATTGCCAGAAACTTGGGCTCATCCTACTCTGCTCTTTGCTTGTAGGTATAAGTCAAAACCAAGGGTTATTGCTTATGTAGCAGTTTTTATATGAAAGGACAAGGTCAAGGGGCTAGGGAGGATAATGGTATTTTGATATGTGGCCTCGTGTTTTTACGGGTTTCTCTAATCTTTTTGTTCATTATACTTCTTTTGTCCCACACTAAATTTATTGGTCTTGCATTCAAAAACATCCTGCATTACCTTTTTTATTTTCTATGAAAACCATCACTAGATTGTTTGTATATTCCTTGTTAAGGCTTCGCTACAGGGAGAGTTAGAATAGTTGGTCTGTCATGTTCAAATGAATGGTTTCAGAACCAAGTGCAAGTGTCAAAAGTCAATTAGAAAAAGAATATTGGGAGGAGAGAAAAATGGCCCCTCTAAACAACAACTTTATGGAAGCTTTACCAGCTGTGTCCATATGAAGCATTTTGCTAGCTACAGAGTCAGTAGACATCAGGTTTTGCTCAAAGGAGGATTTGTGTTTCAGGAGGATTAAAAAAACATGCAGAAATGCTCTGTTTTTCAGGGAGGACCAGGAAGTTCCAGCTGAGTTCTGACTGCAACAACACAGGGAACACCAGACCACTAGGAGAGACATTCCTGTTTCCACCAGGCTCTCTGGGTGATTGTGAAATCATGCCAGAGAAACATGAAACATCAGGCTGGAATGCAACAGAGTTAGAGTTGCAGAGTTAGTTAAGCCTGAGAGCTGCTGTCAGCTGAGAAGAGCACAGCAGATATAAGGGAACAAAAGCTTTCTGTTCAATAAAACATGGAAAACATAAATTATTTCAATGAAGTGGTTCCTGAATTTTGATAGTGTCCAAAAATCATAAAAAAGATATGGTCATCATTTCCTCATGAACAATGAGCTGCTATTCAAACTGGAGATAAAATACTGTCACGACAATGTAGGAAAACTTTTAAAAGAGTAAGCAACGTGATCAGTAAGTAACAGAGGAGGTAGATTAACTAATTAGTTCTGTACTAAGTAGATGGAGTTACGCCTCTCCTTTCCATCAAATCGAGTCTACATAGATGGCTGATTTCCTTTTAATATAAGCAGAAAATAGCAATTAAACAGGCCACATTTTACCGTCTATCATTGTTTCCAGTAATGCAAACAGCAGAGCCTGTGTTATTTTAGAAAATAGGACTGCATTAAAAATGCAAACCTGTCAGTACAGTAATGTTATTGGTCTTTCCTGTGTGACACACACATGGGAGAGGGGGAAGAATTGCAGCTGTTTGTTTAGATGAAAAATTCAATGAAACCGAATGAATCTTAAATAGTGTCAAAGTCTAAACTATTTAATCTAAATAGTTGGATGTAAAGGAAAGGTAAGATTTAAAGGATTCCAGCTGCTATGCGCCTCATGTGTACTGGAGGTGATCCAATTCAGCCACCCCGGGTTATTTACAGATATAATTACTATAAAGGTGAAGGCTGGTTCATGTCTCTCCACCTGAGATTCACTCGTGCCCTGATTGCTTGAGGGGTGGTTGAAAGGGTTAGGCAAAGGTCAGGTGGCCTGACACCGGCCATCTACAGCCAGATAAGATAACCCATTCCCCATGAGGACCACAGCCAGTCAGGCAGAAGCAGACATCTCAGCGGAAAGCAAAGGGTCAGCCGGGCCAAACGCCTCCTGCAGGAGCTGGAGTCCAGCAGGCAGGTGGAGGGATGTGGACACTGCGTGTGTGTGTGTGTGTGTGTGTGTGTGTGTGTGTTCATCTGAACAAGTAAGCGCATTCTGTTCCATCAGCAGATGCTTTATTTGGGGTCGGAGCTGTGTTTGTGTGAGGATGAATTAAAGATGAGTGTGTGTGAGGGGATCTCCGTGTGTGTGTGTGGATCAGGCCTCACCCTTCAGGTGGATCCTATTTTCCGGACTGTGCACCAACACGGAGCTGACTGAATCCAGGCTGTCGTAGTTGCTGCAGCCCAGAGGCCCCGTCCTCGTCTCCGTAACCTAGGAAACAGAGCAGCCACACGTCCGTTTGCTTTTAGGTACACAGAGTATATATATGTTTTAACAACACTTCAGCTATGAACGGGGGGGGTGTGTGTCCATGTCTCTGGCGGTTTGGTGGAGAGCTGGTGGCAGCAGAGCCCTCTGACAGGAGGAAACTATCTGCCCCAACACCTGTATCCACATCTGGCTGCAAAACGGAGGCTGAGAGAACAATGGAGGGGGGGGGGACGATGAGAAACGCGAAGCAGGGAGACGGGAAAGTGTCTTTGAGGGAACTGTAAAGCAGCAACATCAAAGAAATAAAGGAAGGACGGCATCCAGCGTAAGGCCTCTAAGCGGGCGCAGGCCTTTGATTAGTTTTAAACTCTTTAACTTGATTTTCACAAGAGCAATTAGTTAACAAAGTCAGTGCAGACACAAAAACAGTTCAAGCACTGTCTCATCCTGTAATCTGCAGAAACTGGCGTCCCTTTAACAGCCAGATATTCACACACTCCCACTGAGAATAGTCTCTACCATTCAAAGGCCAGTTCCAGCCATGAAACTTACAGAGAATCAGCTGGAAAGTCAAAGCCACTCTAAGAGTTAGTATCTGTGGGTCCCCTCACAGAAAAAAACCCTGGTTTTATCCCCCCTCCTCCTTCCTTCATGTAGCTTCCAAAGTTGCTTTTAATAAAATCCTCAGCTAAATGAGTGAACTGAGTGTAAATGTAAATTTAATATGTGTGTCTCAGTAGACGCATTCAAGACTGATTCAGATGTCCTCAAAATGTCCACCATGAAGGCCAAGCACATACTCTACGTATTACTATTCAAATGTGACCTGGATATTTGATATTTCTCAAATAGATGCAGTGGAAAATGTTAGACCAACTCATGAGTTGTGTAAAATACAAAGTACTGAAAAGCCCCAAATTAAGTCCAAATAGAAAAATAATGGAAATAGGGAATGGAATCACTGTACGCTAAAAAAAGAGATAAGGTACAAGAGGCAGAAAGCATGAGAGGACAGACACAGCCTCAGGGAAAGCTATTCTTCATTTTCATCAGGCTGCTTGGAAAAAGATGCAGCCTATGCAAATCTGCTAGCCTTTAAACAGACTTTTTACTCCCATCATTTAGACTGTTTCCATTAGCCCTGCTCTGTTAGGAAAAGACGTGGACTAAAGAAAAGATGTACATGTCAACCATCTCTCAGATAACGACCAAAAAGCAGATATCGCTAAATCTAAAGATAATTAAGATACAAAAGCCAGCAACAAAGAAGGATTAGTGGAATAGGAGGAGGACATATCGGGCGGTAGTTGACTCCAGATGTGGTCGCAGATGATCTTTCAAATGAAAAAAACTCAACTGTGTCATTCCCCCCCCCCCCTAAAGCTAAAACTCCTCTTTGGTCATATTAAATCCAGCCTTTTCAGGTCTATCCAGACTGAACAGGAGGTGAGATGTAGAATATAACTGAAGCATTCAAGACTAATTCAAACTAGCAGCCATGTTTTGTATCTTCTTCTATTTTTCATGCAAAAGAAAATTTGTATTGTCATAATTTTTATCCCCAAAGTCAGCAGGTTTTTGACGTGACACTTATGATGCTCTGCTTGTCAGAAGGAATCATAAAAGCTTCAGAGATTTCGGAGCGCCCTCCTGAATCCACGCTGGGGTTTCAGCTGTGCAGAACTTCAGTAATGACTCACCTGAGAGCTGCCAGTCCACACGGGCTTTTGTTTAAAACTCCCAAGAGACCTCCAGTTAGAAAATCGTTCAAGCTGGACCCTTTTTTTCTTTAGTTTTGTTTTTCATTCAACAAAGTGTTTTATTGTAGCATTTCAGAGTGCCCTGCTCTTAACAAAAGAATAAAGATTCTTCAAGTGGTTATTTTTGTCTCTTTTTTGCATCAAAGTGCATATACGCCATAATTAATCAATTTACACGCACACACACATACATATATATATATATATATATATTTATATTATTTTTGTATAATTCTATGTTATTGCATATAATTTTGACTGATTAATTATATGATAACAAAAATCACCACATAAAATGATCATGATTCAGTAATAGCTTTGTTCTGTCATATTCATTAACCTGAACAAACATTTCAATCATATGTTGCTGGTTATATGTCAGTAATAAGGTATTTGTGACCCTTTTTTACCATCTTAAATCAATTTGTCATGATACTTTATGGCAAATTGCAGTTTTTGTGTGGATTTTTTGACAGAAACGAAGACACTGCTAGATTCGAGGACCCAGATGGTAAAAAAGTGTTTCACCAGAAAAGAGTGCTGTTGAAAATAAATAAGTAAAGTCCTTAGGGGTAAAATAGTGTGTAAAAATAAATAGCTCCACTCCACTCAACTAATCATGCATTAAGGGACAATTTTACACTCATGAAATCAACAATTAAAGGTAGTTACAGCAAAAGTATGAACATTTAAAGAGCTTTTTTTGTTGTTTTTTGCAGCAGACGCACAAAAAAAATCATGTTCCAAGACTGCATGTTCAGAAATTGGTCAATGAAAATAACTCATTTCAAAAAAATAGTTGTTATGATGAGTTTTTACAGTGAATGTGTTAAGTTTTCTGGCCAGTTCTGGCTCTCAGCCACTCAGAGCTGGAGGAGAAATACAAGGCAGAGTCGGTTCCTCTTTCTCTCTCTCTCTCTCAGTCCTTACAGAAGGTCTTTTATTCCCTCCAAGTGCAGCCCAGGTTCTTAGAGTTCACTTATGACGCATTTCTCTCATGCAGACGTGTGAATGCAGAGGAGCAGAGCCAGGCAGTAGTGCCTCATCCAGCATAAATACACACAAACGGGCTGTAAATGTACAAATATCTATCTGCATGTCATTTGTCACTTGCTGGTGAAACAGTCGGCATGTTTTATTCAAATTATTGTCTTTTATATCACTTTTTATAAAAGCACTCTGATTAAATTGTATTAATTCCTGCTTGAATGTGGACCATTAAATATTGCTTTCTGTTTAATATTAATCCCGCTAATTGATATTTTACTGAAGAAAAAAGAAAACAATTGCAGCAGTACTGTTGTCATTTGAAATGTTAGTCTTTTTCTTTGCACATAAACTGTTTGGAGACCACAGCTGCCCAGGTTAGTAATGCACAGCCCCGTTACAGCTGCGGTTATATGAGGTTTATGGAAGAGGAGCAGCTCCTCTGGAACAACAGACGGACTCCTCTGTGAAGCTGCTCATCATTTCCATACCGGCACCAGCACAATCACAGCTACCTGCTTCTCACTTACATGCTGTTTCCTACAGTTGTGCTGTATGAAAGGTGCTGTTGAATATATTGGATTATTTTGAGAGGAAACTCTAGATTACAAAAACGAATATGTCAGATTTTTAATTAAATTGCATCTTCTTGTTCTTTTATAGTTACTTGTCAAAAAGCCAAATATACCAAACCAAAGAAAATACAAATAAATATATATATATATATATATATATATATATCTCAGCACCCAACGCAATATTAGCTTTTGCTAAAGGTTTTCTGTGATAAACATTACCTTCAGAATGTCATGGTATTCTTTTATTTTATTTTATTGACATTAAAGCCTTCACTGTGGTATTTCTCTTACTCGTCTCCACTCAGATTCATTTTATCTAATGAGTTATGAAAAGGCTGTGAATCTAATTGTTTTCAGTCTAAAAACCAAAAGTATATATTTGAAGTTCTCATAAACAAAATCTGATTATTTATGATGACCTTTAAAGGTAACAACTCCTCACTTTACGTCTGGGAAACCTTTTGTGCTCCTGGTTTATCATGTACAGCCAAGAAAAAAAGAAAAGAGAAAATAATAAAGTGGCTCTTGGCAAGAAAAATGCTCCCAGAGCCAAACTTATGGTTGCATACAGCATTTCAGCAATTCTCTTAGGAAATAAGCCATGACGTTCAAGGTACATGAAAGTTTGACACTTAACCAGCTACTGATTTCAGTCAGATTTTCTATTTAAGTTAAAGCATGAAGGCATGGTCAGCCACCCCCACACCGGCTGCCATCAGCCAGAGCCAACAGATCTGCTGCCACGCACAAAAACACCCTTCAGAAACACTCTTCCTGTCAGGAAAAAGGCAATCCATCAATAAAAAAAATAAAATACATAAATACATAAAAAATAAATACAAATAAAGAAAGAAAGAAAGAAAGAAAGAAAATTCAATCAGAAAAAAATGCCTGATGGAGGACATTGGTGAAATAAAGACTAACTCAACTCATTTAGTGTCTTTTGTATTGGGAATCTGGATGATTCACCAAAAGAGAAAGTACACAAAAAACCAAAACACAGACTTACATTTAAAAAACATGACGTCAGGCGGTGGGATCTCGTGGTGGACTCAGATGCGGAGGGTCGTTTCGAAAGGGTTTTAATGAACAAAAAAAAGCACTCAAAAGGAGTGGATGACCAGACAAAGGTAAAACAAGGCAGGGAAAACTATGAAGAAAGTATCAAATCAAGTAAACAAAACTATGAACAAAGTATCAAATCAAAATCTCCCGTGACCGAGGCCAAAACAAAACTGTGAATAAAGTGCAAAATCAAAATCACTCTTACGAGGCGTGAACAAGACGAGGTACGAAAAGACGAAAACACACTGGCACAGGACAAGGGAAACAAGGACTATTTAACACATGAGGGAGGGGAACCCCAGGTGTACACAACAGGTAATCAAGACATGACAACACACCAGACATTCCCCCAGACGGGACACATGAGCTCTGTAGCTAAACGGCTGTTTGCCAGTAAAGGACCAGAGCACCAGGCCTGGCTGTGCTGGGCTGGGTTGGGGGGGGGGTACCTTGATGGCGGAGGTGGCGATCTGGAGGTGGTGCAGCCGCCTCAGGGTGCTCTCCCGGTCAGTGAAGTAGGACGCGGCCAGCTGGTGCAGCAGCTCCAGGGACACCACCGAGCTGTTGCTGCCGCCCTCAGACTTCTTATTCAGCTTCTGCTTGTCCAGGAAGATGGTCAAAGACTCTTCTCCTGCAGATCAACGCATCAATCAATATCTCTCCAGTGTTTTTCAGAAATACCCCTCACTGCCTTGCAAATCTTGCTTGATAAAGCACATTTTTACTGTGGATGGATAGAGCTCCTGGAGGCTGGATGCTGTTTGTGAGGACTGAGGTGATATTGGGTTTTATTTGTGGCATTTCTCTGGCAGGACTCGCGCTGCCTCACTGTGATTTAGAGGTTTCCCTGCTGTGATGCAGACAATGCATCATTTTCCGTAGCTTAGCTCCGTTTTGTTGGACAATTAGAAGGCGATTACCATTAACCAGTATGTTGTGTTTTCCAGCCTCTCTGCTGGGGTCTTAACAGGCTTGTGACTCCTTGGCAGGAACTGATTGGGGGGAATTAAGGGAAGACACGTGTCATCAGTGTGATTTCTTAGTGTTTTAGTCTATATGCTGATGAATTTGTAATAATTGCTATATCACAAAAAATCATATGCGCCAAAAAACATATTTCCTGTAAAACATATGGGTGGCCCTTTTCCACTAAAACCTATTAAACCTACAAGATGGTCCAGTGAGGAGTTTCAGCTGGTGTTTGTTTCCCAAAAAGTCCTTCTTTGTTACTCTGTGTGGTATAGAGATGACGTCACAGGACTTTCTGCTCTCATAACACCACTTTAATGGAAAATGTTTAAAACCAAGGTAAGCAGAGCTGAGTAGGTTCTAATGGAAAAGAGCCATAAGTGTTTCTGATTAATCCCATTCACCAGTCTAAATGGCTGCTGACCTTTCACACATTTTAAAAAGTCAGAACTGAATCACCTGGCAATAGTCCAACCTGCCTCCTGAATTATCTAACCTTCTTTTCTTGATTTAGCCTCAAAGAAACATTAAGCCTTGAAGTGTCCATTAAAAAGTCATAGACAGAGTCAGCATTTAGTGGAGGTGTTTGTTCCTGATGAGTTATGCATTTCTGTGACAGGCTGCTGGTAAAAAAAGACAATACAAAATACAATTTAAAGAGTTTCTGTGCTTAGTTGTCCGTATCTACAGATACAACACTAGTTCAACACTCAAATCGGTTTCCTTTTTTGTGAAGAACATTCTCCTAAAACAGGGCCAGGTTCAAAGGCTGGACTGAACATAAGCAAAAAAATGTAAAGACTATTCCTGTTCGAAATTTGATTTGACTCTCACCTCTGTGTCACTTGATTTTTGTTACTTTAAATATTTTGCAAAGGAAGGAATTTCTTTATGCCTGAGTGAAAAAAGGCAGAATAAAAGACAACAGGACATTCCAGGGATGGGAGGCATCGCTCTGCTTCAGTCTAATCAGCATGCAAACTGGCAATGCATTTAGTGGAGGCTGTTAATTACATATATAATCTAACTATCACTCTGCTCTGCTTCAATCTCTCCACCAGGCTCCAGTTTCTACAGTGAGGGATATACAGCATCAAACTGTGCCATCGTGCTTGGAGACGGTTTCTGTGAGGAGAAAGAACAGGCTCTGTCTCCCCTGTCATCAGCGTGTTTGCAGAGGTGCTGTTTGTCTCTCTCTGACAGCCCCAGAGGCTGAAAATGCACAGATATGCTCGCTATAAAATGATGTTTGTCATTATCTAAATTCTACAGTGGAACTTTTCTTTGAGTAAATTTCTCCTGTTTCATTGTGTGTCACACATCTGATGGAGCGGAGCATCCTGGAATAGTAAATCCTGCCCTGGCCCTGATGTAATGCATGCCGGGAGACATGTTTTTCCTTCCTTTTTCTTCTCTGACATTGTTAAAAGTCCACATATTAAACATTGCATAACTATCAAAACAGACTGAACCACTACGCAAATGTGGTGATCAGACAGAGAAATATATCAGCTTATCCTTCTGAGCATCACACATCCACCAGACTTGTTTACTCCTGTTTTCTGTCTACACAATCCAAATGTTTTGTGTGTTACTTTGCTCCTTATGGATCGAAGCCACAACCGAATTCCCTAAAGAGCGACTTATGCAGAGTCCAGTCCGTCTGCTGCTTTGCAGACAGATTCTCCTATACTTTAGAAATGTGAGTGGAAATTTACCACTGCATAAATCCTGCAGGTGCAGGTGTTGTTGCAATTGTTGCTTCTCACTTGCCATTCCTCTGCAGTGCTACGCTAACGCAGGCGGGGCTCCTCTGAGGCCTGGAATGAGGAAGTCTTCTATTTTTGGTGTGTCAGAACACCTTCGAACTCGGGAATAAAGGCAATCACCTGCAGGCCTTGCTTACCTCCCAGGGTAGCAGAAACTAGGAAGTGGGTCCCGTACTTCTTGATGAGGTTTTCGTTGATTTGCTGCAGGGTTGGCCGTCGCCCCAGTAACCGCAGGTTGCGCAGGAACTCTGGTGCTAAGGGTAGTGGAGCTTTGAGGAAATCTCTCTTCTCTGTAGCCAGACTGTTCACCTTCCAGTGGCTGAACTCTCTGCAATTAGGAAACATTAACAGATGAATGAACATGGCATTTGTAAATCCTTCAATAATGATGAAGAAAAAGAAAAGAAAGATGATGGATGAACGTGTGGAAAAAACATGATTTCATACACCAGTCACAAGCCGTTGTGCTCAAAGTGACGTCCATCTAGAGAACCGTAAAACATAAAAGAAACCAAAAAAGGTTCATTTACAAAAAGCATATGGAAAAAAACTGCACGTTTGTCCCCGTATTGTGCAAAACAATTTCAAACAGGAATTGTTTGAGTGTTTACTCAACCATGGATGTTCAGTAGACACATTTTTAAAATGGGTTTAAGCTTGTTTTTGTCATATCTGAGCCTTTCCGCTCTGCACCTGCTGGAGCACATCCAGATGTTACAGAGTGTGTGCACTTAGTCAAATGTCAGATGTCAGTGGCTCGCATTTAGATTAGGTCCACCCTGATTCCTTTTAAAGGGTCTTTTCTTTATCTTGGTTTTATGTCCTAGAAATTTAATGCGTCAAGTTAGTGTTGTCAAATGCTGTGAATAAAATAATCAAACAATCTGTATTACAAAAGCTATTAAGAAAACAAAGCCACCAACACTGTATCTGTCTGTTCAGGAGAGAGCCCGACACAGAAGGTAAACAGAGAAGGGAACTCCATCATATCACAGCAAACGCTTTGACAGGGGGATGACACCAGTTCAGCAGAGCTGAGACTGAATGCAGCTCCATCCCAGAAAAAAATCCATAACACTTATTCTACTCCCCACCACATTCTCCATGCACATTCCTAACCAGGAAGACTGAGAGCTCTGCCCATTAGTGAAGGATAGTGGACAATTCTGGGTCGGACGTCCCTAAAACCTCCTCTATATAAAAGTCTGTGGTTTAAACTTCTGGTGCGAGACAGCTTTTTTTAAAATCAGTAATCGATGTTGTACAAGTTGTTAGATAAATGTTACTACAAATAAAGGATCTGAAGGCACATTTGCATTAATCAAAGGTAGCATACACCTACAGAATTGCATATGGATGAGAGTAGCTACACTAAATGCTATTGTCTTTTTTTAGAGAAGTGGGAACACATGGAGGCTGAACAGTGGTGAGGTACCATAAAGCAAAAGGGGTTCTCTGTTCAAAGCACAGCTTGGGAAATTTAGTTTTTTACAAGTTCTCCCTGTGTATGAGAACCGTTCATCTAAAAAAGGCATGTTAGGGAAATTGAACAGTTGATTTTATGACTCATCCCTCTGTGGCCCTGAGGACTAGTTACTAGTGAGCTGGGACAGGGAGGAGTGACTCTCCTTGACCCTACTTGGAATAAGAAGATACAGAAGATGGATGGATGGATGGATGGATGGATGGATGGATGGATGGATGGATGGATGGAAAATATATATATTTTGGTGCCAATTGTGTTTAAGCAAGATGCAGGATTGATCTGTTAAATTTGAATGGTTTGGTACAGGTGCAGGTTTCTCTATGATGAGACACAGATTTTACCCCTCTTGTCAGGCTCAGAGAGGGGTTAGGGTTAGGGTTAGGGTTAGGGTATAAAATGCACCATGATTTGTTTACTTTGGGGCAGTTTGGTACGTCATATGAACCTCTTGTCTGGTCGTGCTGGCTGCTCTCACTTCATGAAGTTTTCCCTTTCCCTTTTTCCCCTTTTAATAAATCTCTATTTCTTGCTTCCTCAGATGGACTCAGACTTTTGCTTTAAAATAAAATTTCCACAACACTCCGACAGCCATTTCATCCCTTCACTGGGTGTGTGATGTGGAATATTATGCCGACACAACAGGAAGAGTGCGTTTGTACCTGATCTGCATAAATCTGCTGTGTGAAAGGCCCATTATGGCCGTGTTTGAACTGAACAAAATACCAGCACTGACACTTTATTTTCCCACCAGTGTGCTTTATCTCTGCTGCTCACAAACAAACAAACACACTCGCACAATCGGTAACACACAGGCAGAGGAACATGTACTGTATCACTGTCTCCGCCCCCCCGCAGCCCTTACGCCGCCCTTTAGTGGTTAAAAGTTTACCATTACAGACAACACAATACCATAATTAGGATTCTGGCATGAATGTGATTTCAGACGTACAGCAGCGGGCTCCCCCTAATGACACACACCCAATCTGAACAGGGTCATTCACACAGCTCTATAGGAAGACGAGATGGAGCTATAATTAGGTCTATGTTGCTATGTTGCATATTAGACTTCAAAGCAGAGCTCAGATTTGTAAGCATTTACTAAAAAGCATGACAAAGCTCTCCTGGAGGACATACGGTCCCAATCCTGCTTCACTGGACGGCACCTTCTAACATAAGGAACCGATTTAAGTCTGGACACACACAGTTCACAGAGGGAAGTTCAACTCTACTGAATGTTCTGGCACACAGTGAGAAGAGAGTAAAGTTATAAAGCAGGACCAGGGAAGGCTTCTGCTCTCTCACTTGTTTTTTTCACCGGGGACCTCACGCTTACTTCTCTTTAACGCTTTTTTTTGTACCTGCATGCTCGGCGTATTACTCCTCTGCCAGTCAGTTCAAGATGTCTCAGTTGTTCCAAGCACTTTTCACAGCATGACTACAGCTCGGCTCTGCATTTTGTTCTCCCGTAAAAACAATATGTGCTCCATCCTGACACGGAGCCCACCTCACACCTCACGCTCTTCATGAGTTCCTCATGAAATTCCACAATTCTGGCAGCTCTGCAAAGAAACTATCATTCTTTGTGGAAGTTTAACCAGTATTTAATGTTTTTAGTGTAAGCTGAATTCATTTACAACACCCTCCCCGGGTTATCCCTTGCACCTCTGGAAGGCCCTGATGTCTGTATGCACACACAGTACACTACCATTTAAAAATCAGGTCCACCAAATCTTAACGATTGAAATCTTTAAATATTCAAACATCTTTACAAATCTTTATATACTACTGAAGATGAACACATGATTTATTACATGTGTTTCACAGAAACTAGACAAAAATGCTGAAGGTGGATTTAGAAAAAGACACCGTCTTCATTGCTTACATAGGAATTAAGAGTGTAAGTGGAAATGGCAGCACAAATGGTTGCCCACACAATTCAGTGAACCGAAACAACGCTGGGTGGGGCATCGTTTGAAAAAGGATGATAAAAGTGCTGACATCATTCAGAAAAGCATAGCTTCACCTTGTTCTGATAAAGGGGATTCTGTGGTACATTCTGTCAAAATGCTACTCATCTAACTTTTTCTCTTTTTATGGTGAAATAAAAAATGGATATGCACATGAAAACCATCACATAGTGAAGTTTACTGCAATGGACAAAACTGATGATGCCCCATTTAACTTTGATTTAACAAAACGGCCAAAGTCAGCGAAACAAAATCCACAGAAGCTGCTACATTAAAATGACTCAGTGTCTCAAAGCAAAGGTCAATCTCTCACCAAACCAGCATTAGTCTGCAGCCATCACATGCCTGAGCAGGCATTAGCTTTAGCTCAGTCTTTAGTCCAGCAGGCAGCTGCAGACTGATTAAGTGGGGCTGATGCAGACTGATGTGTTTTCAGAGCGCAGAGCGAGCACGCAGGACGGGAACCGATGGCAACGGGGCCCAAAAGCAAAGAGGCCCGTTGCATCATTTACTTTTCTCCTCGCTTCGCTCTCTAAGAGTTAACGGTGAGACTGCCGGCTGACCGTTTGGCTAATGATGATAGATGGTGTTAATTAAAAGGTTTTGGCACAGCGATGACTGCACCTGCAGCTATGGCAGCTGAAAGCAGGGGACTTCTGCTTTTAACAGGAAAAAAGAGGGGAGGAAAAATCCATATTTATGCAGAAATTCCTTCCATGTTCCCCCTGAAAGCAACACCTGGATGTTATTAGCGATCAGATATCAGCGGATACAAGTGGAGGGCTGTCAGGGGAACGTACCCCGTATTTAGCCAATCACACAGCCTCAGAGAGCAGATCTCAAGGGGAGAGGATCTATTCATGTTACATTATGTATGCTGTGCTATCGTGTCATCATGCCTCAGCCAGGCAGAGGTGCATGGTCCTGTGTGTTTTCACAAACAGTATTGTTGGCAAAAGATATTTTAGTGACTAGTTAGCGACTCCATATAAAAGTTCAGAATTGGATGTACCAATTATAATGTTCTTAACATACATTTTTAAACAAAGCACAACACATGCCTGCTTAGTTTGGTAGTAAAACACAAGCTATCCAAGCTGTCATGGGGGAAAGAGTCGCCTCATTGTGAATAGAGCATCTCACGTCTTAAAGTTTAACTTTAAAGTTGAATTTAGCAAAACATATATTATGGAAGTGTTAATATTAATCATTAATAATATATGTATTAAAAATAATACATATATAAGACATAATATATTTGAAAAATGACAGTGTGGAACTTTGAAAATGTCCATGAATCACCTAATTAAGGCCGATCCCCATTTAAAAGATTGAGTCATGTCATTTTCTGTTACATCTCATCAACACACCTTTTTCTACTTTTATTCCAAATGACGTCAGCCTCTGGAAGATAAAGACCCCCCCGCAGCTGCTCTGCCATCCTTCCTGCTACACATAAGGCCACAGATGTTTTCTGGTCCGTTTTAATTTGTGCTGATTCTATTTTTTCTTCTCTCCACGTAAAAAGTGATTTGTTGATTCAGCGGTCCAGATGTGCTGTGTGTAGCACTCCGCTGCCAACGTGCCCCGGGCAAAGCTTATTTAGGCCTCCATGTGGGTTGTCATCCATCTAAGTGAGAGTAAATTCAAGAGTTCAACAAAAAGGCAATTTGAAGGGCAAAAGTAGCAGCGAACAAAAACACACGAGAATGAGAATTGAAACTTTGGTGCCCTGTGTGTTCACCGTAAGCCGTCTGCTCTGGGCTGTGACTCATTCTGAGGAGGTTGTGCTCTTGCATTTGGACGGAGCTGAAACTGTATAATGAGCAGCTTCACCTGCATCAGGTACAGTCTTACCTATTAATAAGAAGTGACCCACTTATGATTGGATGCTATTTGTGGAGCTGCTG